GAGATTTTCCAGATAATTTTCTGTTAAGTGATTTCCTGCAATTCCATTATGATCATAGAATATATTTTGTAGGATTTACATTCTTTTAAATTTATTGGATCTTGTTTTATGGCCCAGAATATGGTCTTCATTTGTAAATGTTCTATGTACACTAGAAAAGAATATTCTTCTGTTGTTGGAAGGCATGTTCTAATACATAGCAATTAGATCAAGTTGGTTCAAAGTGTTATTCATGTTATAATCCTACTGATTTTTTGCTTACTTTCCCTAAAGGAGGTACTGAAATCTTAAACTCTAATTATGAAGTTGTCTATTTCCTTTCAGTTCTATCTCCCTGGTATCATTTCCATTCCACCTGAAGAATTTCCTTTAGTACTTCTTATAGTGCAAGTCTGCTGGTGAAAAATTCTTTTTTTTTTTGGTCTGAAAAATTCTTTATTTCTCTTAAGGATATTTTTGTTGTATGTAGAAATCTAGGTTGGCAGTCTTTCCTTTCAGCATGTTGAAGATGACATTTGATTGATTGACTTTTGCCTTGTACTGGTTTCTGTTGACAAGTCTACAGTCATTCATTGTTCCCTTGTATTCGATGTATCTTTTTTCTGGCTGCCTTTCACGTTTTCTCTATCTCTGGTTTTCAGCAATTAGATATGACATATTTAGATGTGTTTTTTTATGTTTCTTCTGCTTGGGGTTTGTTGAGATCCACAGTTCTGTGGATTTATAGTTTTCACCAAATTTGGAAAAATTTCAGCCTATTTCTTCGTTTTTTTCTGTATCACTGTTTTGGTTTGACAGTGTGCATAGCTCAATATGAATGGATCACAGTCCTGTTCTATGACCCAATTTCTGAAAACAGTTATTACATATATCTTGCCCAATTTCTAGTTGTTTACAGTAAGAAGGTAAATCCAGTACAAGTTAGTTTTTTTTTTTAAAGATTTTATTTATTTGACAGAGAGAGACACAGTGAGAGAGGGAACACAAGAGGGAGTGGGAGAGGGAGAAGCAGGCTTCCTGCTGAACAGGGAGCCTGATGCGGGGCTTGATCCCAGGACTCTGGGATCATATCCTGAGCCGAAGGCAGACGCTTAACGACTGAGCCACCCAGGTGCCTCACCAGTTAGTCTCTCATGGCAGAAGTAGAAATATCTCTCTCTTTCTCTCTGGTTACTTAAAAAAAAAAAAACCAAAAACAACTTATGTCTTCAGTCTTTTTCCTGTTTCAGTTTGATTCATTTATACTGCTATGTCTTCAAGTTCATTGGTCTTTTCTTCTGCAGTTTTCAATCTGCTGTTAAGCCCATCCATGAATTTTTGAAGTTCCATTTAATTCTTAAAAAAAATTCCATTTTCTCTTTATTTTATTCATATTTTTCTTTAAATCCTTGAGCATATTTATAATAACTCTAAAATGCATGCTTTGGTCATATCTATTTATATGTCATATATGCCATTTCTGTTTTGTTTTTTCTATTAGCTGACTTTTCTTTGGATTATGGGCCATATTTTATTCTCTTTTGTATACCTAATAATTTTTATTAGACACTGGGCATTGTAAATACTATGTTATTCAGTGTCGAGATTTTGTTGTCTTCCTTTAAAGGTTGTTGATTTTTCCCCATTCCTCCCTCCTATCCTCCCCTCCTTCCTTTCTTTTGGCTAACAGTTAAGTCGTATGCATGTTTGCCTGATCCTTTTGGGGCTTGTTTAATTAAGCTTTGTTAAAATGGGCCCCAAGGAGCTTACACCTATTTTAGCCCTACCAGTAAGCCATGACCCTTGAGGTCTCTCCACTCGGGTAGGCTAGAACTCAGATTCTCCCAGCCCTGTGTAAACTCTGGAAATTGCTAACTTTACAGCTCCCAGAGAATCTTTGCCTGGCCATGTGGAGTTTCATCCTATACATTCTCAGCTTAGTATTCAGCAACAGAGTCAAGGGGGCACCTATGCATATTATTTGAGCTCCTTTTCTTCATAGCTCTCTCCCTCTGACACCCTGTCCTGCAAATCTCAGGCACCTCAGACTTCGTGAACTCAGATTTCCATCTCCTCAACTCAGAATCCTCTGTACTCTGCCTGGGCTTTCCCTCCTTGTACTATAGTCCAGAAAATGGCTCCAGGCAGAAGGCTGATGAAACCACAGGACTCCTCTGTGTGCAGTCTCCTTTCCACTTCTATTAGGGATCACAGTCTTGTCCTTTCAACAGTGCAGTATCTGACAATGGTAGAAGTCTTTCTTTCTCTTATTAATTTTGTTGCTCAAATCGTTTCAGATCTTGTCAGTGGGAACCCCTTCTAGATGGCTTTAAAAAAAAAATGTGCTTCTAATATGTCCCCATAGTTTTTTAGGCATTTACATACTTCCTGGGATAATTAGATGTTCCAAGCTCATCTTGGACTTTCCTTGCTCCAGACCTGGAATCAGAATTTTCTCCAAGAAGATTTGGTATCTTTTAGTAAAGAATGGTAATTAAAAACCATTTGGTATGTTAACTGTCACTGATATACCACTGCATTCTTGGAGGAGTTGTGGACACTTCAGTGTGTTGGTTAAAAGTCCTGTTAGGATCTAAAAAGGCTGCAGCTGTTTGGACCCTATGAATGAAAACCAAATAAACTATAACTCCTTTCTAGGACAAAACCTCACACTGAGGAGAAACTGCAAAACTAGGACAGTACAAGTAAAGTTAGAAGAACATCCAAGTAAAAGTGCAGAGTACAGCAGAAAGTACAAGTACATATTTTTATTAACTTGTTTTAACAAGGGAAGAGGGTGCTCTAGAGCTATGAAACTAAAAATGCTACCGTGAGACACCCTATGCAGGCAAAATACCAAGTTATTTATAAGGGAATGAAAATTAGATTGTTTTCAGACTTTTAAAGAGCAATGCTTTATGCCAGAAGACAATCAGATAATCGACTAATAGAATTAAGATAGTCAAGGAAAGAAAATACAAGGCAAAGATTTCATACACATCCAAACAAACTTGAAAGTATAAAGGCCATAGACCAACTGTGATGATCCTCTCTTTCCTGGGGAATCTACTAGAGAAGAAAAAGCTTTAGAAAACCATAGTTATTGAAGAAACACCAACATAAGGATTGGTAGTTACATTCGATGTGTATTTACCTATAGAATAAAGAATAAATGATAATAAAGGGGAGAGTGCAATATGTAATGGCTGTTTGTTTTGTTAATATAGACACAGGTCAAGAATCAAAAAAAAAACAGTGAAAATGAGGAAAGCATATATGAAGTGGAATAAGCTTGCTGATTATCTTTGGGGTAAAAAAAATATTATTTCAAGTCAGATGATGGGAGAGAGAAGGAAGGAGTAAGAAGCAATAACTAGATCATTTAGGAAGGGAGGGAGAACAGAGTATTATATAAAAGTATAAAGATAGCCATTAGAATAAAGATACAAACCTTTCTAAAGAGAGAGATCAAATAAAATGGACTACGTGGTGAAAGGCTTTTTATATAAAAGATGTGTATATGGGTAAAATAGAAAACCATGACAAAACAGAGACTAAAGACATGGATCACATCAATAAATATAAAGAAAGTTTCACATTGGCTACAACATCCAACACTATCTGTAAGACAAAGAGCTTCAGAAAGATGAAAGAATAAAAGACAGACAAAGATATACCAGGCAAATGCAAAGAAAAGAAGGCAGGAGTGGCAATTCTGAAATCCAACCAGGTAGATTTACAGGAGGAAATCATACATAAAGAGTCGGATTTAAAAACAAAAACCAGAACATTTTATACCATGTTAAAGAGTCTGGACTTGTACTCAGTGAGAGACTTTGAAGGATAAACTGTAGATGGACAAGAGTCAGACATGCACTTACAGACAGACCAGACGGAGGGGACGTGGGGGGTGGGGATGCACCTGGAACTGGAAAGAGGACAGACACCGAGGGCCTGCTCCAGGACATGTGGTCTGCCCTCATGTTCTCGTTTTAATTCTTGGAACTCCATGACGTGTCTCTTGTTATTCATATTTTATAGAGAGGGATTCTGAGGTTCAGGAAGATCAAGTAACTTGTCCAAGGATCAATATTTTTCACCTAGCTCTTTGCCCCTACACATTGTTATCTGTTAAAAAAAAAAAAAAAGTTCAAGCAAGAAAGGGCGAGTGTCTAAGGCAGTGCAGAAGGATCAGTATTTAAGGAGCGTAATTAGGCAGGCTTGGTGATAGACGGGACACCGTGTAAGAGTAAATAACAAGAAAAAGAAATAAAGAATTCCAGAGCCATTATAAGAGCTACTATCTACAAGAAGTTACAAATATATTGAAAAGGAAAACAAACCAGAACATCCTTTTACGTCCTTTTATTGTTTACTGCTTTTTATTCTTCCCCAGACTTGTTCTAACTAAAATCTAAGCATACGTGGTTTGTTTTGTGTTAAAACAAACACACACACACACACACACACACAGAGCATCCTTTACAACAACAACAACAACCTGGTCCTATGAAAACTACCAAGACTGGAATAGATATACAAACATCTAGATAAAAATTCAACATGGATTACTACAAAGAAGGTAGTGCATTTCCTCCTTTTTTCCTTTGGGGAAGGGGCAGATCTTAAGTAATGTCCTAATAATACAAAAATGTTTGTTCTCAGTGTACAAGGCACTGAGAGTGAAAAAAGCTTATTATTTATTCTTACTGAATAAACACTTGGAACTGATTTATAGAAGAAAATTTAATTAGCAGAATGTACATGGATAGTCTTAAACTCTTAAAGTCTAATGACTGTGTTTAAAGTTACAATATAGAATCTTCAAGTTTTTCTACTTTAAAAACAAAAGCCCTGCATGTCCTTGGAAAACTTTTCTCCTTATCCAATTTTTGTTTCATTCTAGTGCCCCAACTCAGTCTTCCCAATTTGATATAAGATACTCTACTGAATTAGTTCTACATGTTTGATTAGTTAAATAAGGATACACTGGCCTTTCTTTTATTCAATCTCATACTTACATGGAATGGTTCTCAAGTAGAGATTATCTCTGATCACTTGCTGCAATTTGTGGTCAATCGATCCTTTCTGAAACTGAAGACTCAGGTAATGTCGCAAATCTTTATTAATGACTTTGCCTACGAAAAAAACCACAGAAGACAGAACACATAACTGTTAGATCTCCAGTTAAATATCGATGGTAGTGACTGAATACCCTTAAACCATCAGAAATCAGAGTATTTTACTAAAAACAACATTGCTTTACTAAAAAATTATTATAGTATTATAATTAATAATATATACCTATAGTACATAATGTGGGCATCATTTTACAATAGTAGGGGAAGGACAAGGTATAGGTCAGAGAATATGACAAATACCCAAGATAATTTCCATCTATAGCTTCAAATACCATCTATATACTGATAACTTCTAGGTTCTTATCATGTCTCCATCCCTGATCTATGCCCACCAAGCTCCAGAGCCATCAAACTCATTCGTATACATTGCAAATATAGAAAGTCAAATAAGCACCTCAAATTTCAGACAGCAGAAACAGAACTCTTAATTCCATCCTCCCCCAATTTTTCCTCTGCTCTAGTTTTCCTTGTCTTAAGCAAATAATAGCACCATCAACCCAGTAGAACAGACCCAAAAGCTAGAAGTCATCAGAAGTTTCTGATTTCTCCTTTTCACTTCTATGCCTCAGATCCAATCCAGTAGCAACTTTTGTCAGTTCTACCTCTAAAACATGCCCCATGTCCACTTCTCTCCATTTCCAGAGCCTCCACCCTAATCTAAGCCACCATCATTTCCCATCTCGAATTCTGCAACAGCCTTCTGTCTCCCTGCATTCTTTCGTGCCTCCTTCCTGCTCCCACCACTTACAAAGAAGCCAGAGTGAGATTTCGAACATAAATCAGATAATCACTTCTCTGTTTAGTGCCCCCCACCCCCGCCATGACTTCTTTTTGCACTTGGGATAAAATCCAAACTTCCACATGTTCTAGCTTTGGCCATTTCTGACTCAAACCCATTCACTAACCCCCCACTAGCCATGCTTCCACCCACACTGGCCATCTTCCAAAAGGCCAAATGGACTCTACCTTGGAGCCTTCTGCCTATCACTGACTGAACAGGCATTTTCTGTCCACTCACTTAACTCCTAGATACAAGGTGATTCATTAAGAGAATGAAAGATTTTTTTTTTTCTTATTTGTGGGGAAAATGGGAGATAAAAAGAGGACTATTAGAGATCTCAAAGAAATGGTAAGCAGAAAAACAGGATTGCAGAAATCTGATAGCAGTGAATTTATAGTAAATGTTGAACTTAAAATGAAAACCAAAGCAATCCAAACACTGTTCACTAGATAAGACTTCACAGGATTATAAAAGGGCAATGCTCAAACATGATGGATTACTATATTGAGTAAGAAATGACTAGGCAATTAAAATATACTCTTCGTTTTATTTGGAACAGCTTAATTATGACAAGGATAACTCAAAAGGTTACTACAGATCAGTTCATTCTTTTAACTATTATTCCATAATGTAGCATTTCTAATCCCCCCTTTTTGGTCTTTTCTCACAGGTATAAACAAGCATAACCAAATGAGAAGGTGTTAATACAAGCAGGAAACCAGGGTGCTGCTAAAGTTCAGAGATAACATTCGGATCCTAAACTAATAAACACAGACCAAAAAGTCCCTGTTTTGCCTTGCTAAAAATAGATGCTGAAGAAGGGAGACCCCTCTGTGATCAAAGAAGAAAGCCTGAAAGATATTTACAGGGATAACACAGAAGAATCCCTGGCCACAGAAGTGGTTTCTGCCAGGCATTCATGGGCTCTACCAACCCAAGTTCCATTTAGATGGAATCATATTATGCCATTTCTTATTTTTATCACAGTACTTGTTCTTTGCTGAGTGGAAGAAAAAAAACATAATTCATAATCAATACTGTACAGTCTGAGAACCCAGAAATAGACCCTCAACTCTATGGTCAACTAACCTCCAACAAAGCAGAAAAGAATATCCAATGGAAAAAAGACAGTCTCTTCAAGAAATGGTGTTGGGAAAATTGGACAGCCCCATGCAGAAAAATGAAACTGGACCACTTTCTTACACCATACACAAAAATAAACTCAAAATGGATGAAAGACCTAAATGTGAGATAGGAAATCCATCAAAATCCTGTAGGAGAATACAGGCAGCAAGCTCTTTGACCTCAGCCACAACAACTTCTTGCTAGACACGTCTCCAAAGGCAAGGGAAACAAAAGCAAAAATGAGCTATTGGGACTTCATCAGGATAAAAAGCTTTCGCACAGCAAAGAAAACAGTCAACAAAACTAACAGGCAATCTATGGAATGGGAAAAGATATTCGCAAATGACTTACCAAAGGGCTAGTATCCAAGATCTATAAAGAACTTATCAAACTCAACACCAAAGAACAAATAATCCAGTCAAGAAATGGGCAGAAGACATGAACAGATACTTCTCCAAAGAAGACATACAAATAGCCAACAGACACGTGAAAAAATGCTCAACATCACTCATCATCAGGGAAATACAAATCAAAACCACATGAGATACCACCTCATACCAGTCAGAATGGCTAAAATTAACAACTCAGGAAACAACAGATGTTGGCGAGGATGTGGAGAAAGGGGAACCCTCCTACACTGTTGGTGGGAATGCAAACTGGTACAGCCACTCTGGAAAACAGTACGGAGGTTCCTCAAAAATAGAACGACCCTACAACCTAGCAACTGACTACTAGGTATTTTTATCCTAAGGATACAAACATAGTGACTCGAAGGGGCACCTCCCCCCAATGTTTATAGCAGCAATGTCCAAAACAGCCAAACTATAGAAAGAGCCCAGATGTCCATCAACACAGGAATGGATAAAGAATATATACACACACACACACACACACAGGAATATTGGAATGGACTATTACTCAGCCATCAAAAAGAATGAACTCTTGCCATTTGCAATGACATGGACGGAACTAGAGGGTATTATGCTAAGTGAAATAAGTCAGTCAGAGAAAGGCAAATGCCACATAATTTCACTCATATGTGGGGTTTAAGAAACAAAACAGATGAACATAGGGGAAGGGAAGGAAAAATAAAATAAAATAAGATGAAAACAGAGAGGGAGGCAAACTGTAAGAGACCCTTAACTATAGGAAACAAACTGAGGGTTGTTGGAGGGGAGGTGGATGGGGGGATGGGGTAATTGGGTGATGGACATTAAGGAGGGCACTTGATATAATGAGCACTGGGTGTTACATGCAACTGATGAATCCCTAAATTCTACCCCTGAAACTAGTAATACAGTATATGTTAACTAAATTCAAGTTAAAAAAAAAAATACTGCATAGTCTCATTTCTTATTGAACAAAAACATACCCAATGAGTTTATTAAATATTTTAAAAATTAGGTATGTTCCAAATGCTTTGTAATAAATATTATGCAAAAGCTTTGATGGGTTGTTATATAGGTGCTTAAAAGTTTTAGTGACATTTGTGGATGTTTAGAGTTCTTGAACAGATAGAGAATGCATCATTGTTTTTTTCCACTTAAAATAATATAGTACCGGCTCCATTATCTAAAAATCCTCTACCCAACATATTTTCATTAATACACTTAATTTGGATAAAGGATAATGCCTCCGTAATTCAAAAAGACAATATGAGTCCACACTTTTTTTTTTAACTCAAGATTTTGTGTTTTAATTTGAAACTTTATATAAGATATGGTATAGCTCACAGAGGTAACTATAAAATGCTGAAAACTCAGATTGGATTTTAATCCAATTAAAATAACAGCCATTAAATCAGATATAATTAAAGACAAAGCCATAATAAAAGTCATAGATCACAAGTTACAGCTTAAATGGGTTTCTTAAGGTGGAAATGAAGTTAAGACACCTCATTTCCTGTTTCAAAGGCCTACAAGATCTTAAGACTGAGAGGCCAGTTAAAGCAGAAGGAACTAGATTTAAAGAATGGTACCTGGGATTATCTGGGCTGGAACTGCCCTCACTCTCAATTACCACCCACAACTCCTGCTGGGGTTCTGGATGCAATGATGAAATGAACAGTTGCCAAGAAAAGGGTGAGGGACAAGTTCATAAATGTGGTATTTTATTTAAAATGCGCAAGTCATTCAAAAAAGTCATCACACATCTTCAAGGTTGGGAGACAAAATATTACAAATATCAGTGAAATGTCAATTATAAAAGTTAACAATTTAACGGGGTTGGCATTCTTTCAGATTAATAATTAACAGTAAAATATAATGAATATAGTAGTCATCATGAACTTCCTTGCCTCAAGAAACCAAAAGACCTTCTGAAAGGGGACAGAATATTATGGTTCCCTCTTTGATAGGATTCCAGGGAATTTGTTTAAAAAAAAAAAAAAAGTACAAATATCCTGAATAGGCAGATGGCTGTGGAATTACTAGAAGGCCAACAGAAACATTAACTCACAAAAACACTGCTGAGTATATCTGTATTATCAAGTTGTATATAAACGTCAGCCTTTTATTTAGGCAGAGTTTCACAGAAACTTGACATTTCAAGGGTATGAAAAACATTTACTTGGGGTTAATGCAGTTGTTGCTAAACAAGGAAGAGAAAAAGATTCTTCATAATTTAGCATTCCCACCCATCCAGGCTTTAAGTGTTAAGATTATTCCCTGACTTCTAAGTGATTTATTAAGTTTATTCATGGAACTTAAAAATAGATCTATATATCTTACAAATACAGCTCAGGTGGGGAAAAGTCTGTAACTGAAATCTCAATCATATGAATAAATCCAGACACTCAAGTTTCAACATACAAATCCTTAGTCAAAAGAACCCATCGCTACAAACCCGTACTTTCTGAATATATGTGAATTAATATTCACTAGCAGTTATCTTTGAGGAATCTGTGTGTAGAGACACTGGTTATAAATTAGATAAACCTTACGGCACGCCAGCATGGGAGTAGCCATTCAACCAGCTGTAAACAGGTCTAATTGTCAACATTTCACTGCCTTTTCCATAAGGATCGTCTAAGAGACTTTGCCAACCACTTCCTTAAATTAAGATGGCACATGACTTTACTATTCTCTAACCC